CTCAGATTGCGAGTCGAGTGCCTTAACTACCTGGCCATGCCGGGCTCTTTGGGAAGATGTCGACAAAAGAACAGTCAGTTGTTTAATTTTGGTGAAGTATTGATCTTAAGTAAGTCGACATGTTGGAGAACCAGCGATTCCTTTCGAGATCAGTTCCAGAGTATCTTCAGTTACAAATTGTGTTAGTCAGTCAGTTTTGAATTTGTGCCTTATATACTAGAAGAAATGTAACAAGTAAGTAGCTGCTTAGTTTTATTTGTGGGTTAGGACTACCGCTTTGTGAACTTGTAAAAGTTGCCGTAGAAGAAATAAAACTATTTCTTTTCCGTTAAGTGGATTGGAAAAAAAAAAGAATCCGCACAACTACAATAAATGTTATAATAATATATAACAGCTGTATTTGAGGTCAATTCCTGTGTTAATAAAACAATCATAATATCTCTTAGACATAAAAATCTTTAACAATATGACACATTATCCTGCGTTTTATCTCAGACTAATGTTTGAAACGTGTAGGATGGATAGGCAGTTAACTTAACATTCAGGACTTTTTTAGATATATTTATATAAAAGATATAGATTAGGAAGTGTATGAGAATTTTACAACACCTGATGCCCTTTAATTCAACATGAAAATTGGTTATTCTTGCCGTTGCTTGGATTACTATATCATGTTTCTACTCAAGAGTAGAAACATGATATATTTCTTACTTTATAATATAACTTTTTGTTTAGATGCTTTCGGAATATATAAGCGTTGTATTTTTTTTTTTTACATTATTTCTAGGGGACGATCAATGGAGTGTCAAACTTCAACGCCGAAAGGGCAGCGACTAAACTACATAGAGCTATGAGAGGGATAGGTAAGTATCATTAAGTAATTTTTAAATACAAAGACAATAAAATGATAATGAAAAAGAAACTGAAACTTGTAAGACGACTAGTATAACTCAGCTTGTTTGTTTTAGAGCAAAGCCACATTGAGTTATCTGCTGTGTCCACCGCGAGAAATCGAACCCCAGATTTTAGCTGGTTAGATCTCTGCTTAACAAACAGTGATGTGAACTAGAATCTCACCCAGTTTAAGTTTTAATTTTTCTCTGATAAAAATAATCTTAGGGCAAGAAAACCCCACTTATCCGAAAAAATTATTCGAATTTGTGCCTTATAAGTTATCATGCCAGAAAAAAAAAACCTGTAAAGCTGAGAAAAGTTAATAATATTGCTATACTCATAAAAACCGAAAAGCATTATGTTATTTTCTTTACTATGCAATCTAAATAATGAAAGGATTTACAATGTGAAGTATTACAGATCAAAGCATTTTATGTTTTTTTTGTGGCTTTTCTGTAGGTTTTTACGTTAAAATCTGAGTTAATAACTGCATGCTGGAGTGTTTAACAAATATCTGACGAATTACAGTATAGTTTAATTCTTTAGTTTCGGAGAAAAAAATCCACTTCAAAATACTGGTTTATAAGCTTTATTTTACTGGATTAGTCTCCATTTGTCCTGCTTGATAATCGTACCTTTATTTATTGTTAAGCATCAAGTCTACTCAAGCAGCAAAATGAAACTCTCGTTTTTACATTCGTAAGTTTACTTCACTCATTCGCAATATATTATTCCCAGACAGAGGATTGAATACTATTATTTTCATTAGTCTCCGTATCACGTACATTATCAGCATTATTCATAATAGTTTCAACTTTAGATAAATATTGCTTCATGTCAATGTATTTTTTGCAGAATATTATTGCAACGTGAGTAGCAAAATCCTGGCCCTTGCTACATGTTACATCATGTACGTGATGGCAACAGGTTGTATCATGGCATTTCATATCCTGTAAGAAAATAGGAATATTAGCTCAAAAATAATTGTATTTGTATGTGTGTTTACAGGAAGTGACGAACGAGTGATTATCGAAGTACTGACGAATCATTCCAACTATCAACGTCAAGAGGTGAAACAACAGTACAAGTCTATGTATAAAAGGGTAACAAAATTGAAATTTTGCCTTGTCGTTTGTTTATTTCTTCTTTATAAAGAAGGAACATATGTTTTCTTTTGTATTTTTATTCTGGCAAAAGTGTTTTTTGATTATTTCAGTTACCCAAAAACCATATATGAACACAAGTTACGTAAGTAACTGACAGAAAGAATTAAAATAATTTGTAGTCAAACGAAGAGATAACACTGTTTTAAAATTAAGTACGTATGTTAAGGTTCTGGCGATTGGATATCTGTCTCTATCATGGTCAGTAGCCTATATCTTACAGGACTTGGTAAGAAACATAGAGATTTAAGACTCCTCTATAAAGTAGATAAAATAGTCTCTCGCCTTCCTCTATAAATGTAAACATAACGTAATTCATAAAGAACTTAAAGTCAACATCTCAAGGGCCCCAAAACTCAGAAGCTTGGTTTCGTTTGATTTGGTTTGAAAGCTACACGAGGGCTAACTGCTTTAGCAGTGAAAGACTAGAGGGAAGGCAGCTAGTTGACATCACACACCACCAGCTCATAGGCTACTCTTTTACCAACGAATAATGGGATTGACCGTCACTTTTGATTGTAGTTTTTAGCGTTGTAAGCCTATAGACTTACCGCTGAGCTACTGGAGGGCACCAGTAATAGCGCCCGAAGAACGAGTTAAGTAACGGATCAAACTTCGTCCTAACACACAACAAATTATAGATACAACTATAACTAGAAGAAAGAAGAATTCAGAATCAAAATAAAGACTGCAGTCCATAAATCATTAAAATGTAAACCGCACTACAATTCCGTCCTAACAACATAAAAAATTCCCTCGAAAATTTGAAGTTCTTTCCAAACAAAGATAATGACTTTTTAATCATGAGGAATATACAGTTAAACTCTAGAGAAGAAGATTAAGTCTAACCAACTCGTTAATACAGAAAAAAGGATAAACCAAATCCTCAAGTGAAAACAAAAAGAACTTGGAATAGAAACAGTCCAATAATTAACAGTACCCCACAGCAGCACCCCACACATCTATAGATACCTAAAATTCATATACAAGCCTACCGTCTTCGTCCCATAGTTAACTGCAGAGATTCACTCCTTAGCTAGATATCTCGTAGATATAATATGACCATTAATCAGTAAAACAATCTTTGATGTTAAAAACTCAGTTCAGATTATAAACTACTATACAACTACTATAACTTCACAGGGTATCCAACCTAACTTACCTACTCTTGTAGATACACTGTCAACAGCTTGAAAATGATAAAAATCACAAGTAACTCATCAAGTTAACAATCTACACGACAATAGAACTCACAACTTTCTGTTTCAACGCATCTTGTTTCCAACTTGATGATAAATACTATCAACATATGGACAAGATTCCATAATTAATGAATTATCTAAAGAAACAATACCCAGTAATACAAGTCACAACGGAAGTATGGGAAGATAAGAAACTCTCATTCTTAGTCATAATTGTTACTCACATACCACAGGAGTTTACAAGAAACCCGCAGATATGGATAAATCAACCTAACCCAACAGTGTAAAGACGGACATCATAGACTACCTAGTCTTCAGAACGAAAAACATTATAATACTATAAATCAACCTAACCCAACAGTGTAAAGACGGACATTATAGACTGCCTAGTCTTCAGAACGAACAACATTATAATACTATAAATCAACCTAACTCAACAGTGTAAAAATGGACATCATAGCCTACCTAATCTTCAGAACAAACAACATTATAATACTATAAATCAACCTAACCCAACAGTGTAAAGGTGGACATCATAGACTACCTAATCTTCAGAACAAACAACGTTATAATACTATAAATCAACCTAACCCAACAGTGTAAAGATGGACATAATAGATTACCTAGTCTGCAGAGCAAACAACATTATAATACTATAAATCAACCTAACCCAACAGTGTAAAGGTGGACATCATAGACTACCTAGTCTTCAGAACGAACAACATAATACTATAAATCAGCCTAACTCAACAGTGTAAAAATGGACATCATAGCCTACCTAGTCTTCAGAACGAACAACATTATAATACTATAAATCAGCCTAACCCAACAGTGTAAAGGTGGACATCATAGACTACCTAATCTTCAGAACAAACAACGTTATAATACTATAAATCAACCTAACCCAACAGTGTAAAGATGGACATCATAGTCTACCTAATCTTCAGAACAAACAACGTTATAATACTATAAATCAACCTTACCCAACAGTGTAAAGATGGACATAATAGACTACCTAGTCTTCAGAACGAGCAATATTTGTAACATAAAAACTGCTGAGATGAGGATTAAAAAAATACATCACTACAGTCGTCCATGACAATAGATACCCTTAATAATTGATGAAGAAGAAAATAAAGAACATAAACACCAAGGAAAGAAGGGGGAAGGAAGAAAGTTGCAGACACCTAGCCATATTCTCCTGTATCACAGGTCTCTGTATAAACCATTTACTATGTCTCTTGTGAATGTGGACTCTAATACTTTAGGGGTTGGTTGTTCGTTACGGATTTCGCGCAAATCTACACGAGGGCTGTCTGCGCTAGCCGTCCCTAATTTAGCAGTGTAAGACTAGAGGTAAGGCAGCTAGTCATCACCACCCACCGCCAACTCTTGGCCTAGTCTTTTACCAACGAATAATGGGATTGGCCGTCACATTATAACGTCCCCACGGCTGAAAGGGTGAGCATGTTTGGTGTGATGGGGGGTTCGAACCCGCGACCCATAGATTGCGAGTCGAGCACCCTAACCACCTGGCCATGCCGGACCCAATACATTAGGGAAACAAAGACACTAACAAAAGTCAGAATTTGGTAGCATAACAGATATATCTATAATAATACATCATCTCAGAGAAGAAGACCTATAATAAAACGGAATTATACTAAAATAATGACATAGGAACCACATACGATAAAAATAAATATAAAAGGAGCTTCCTATTTGCACCTGTAAATGCTAACACACTAAGTCAGCCTAGCATAGAAGTAATAAAAACCTGGATACTACCCTTGAAATCATTCAAATAACTAGTTGATTCGAGTCCTCATCGGGAACCTCCGTAGAAATGGATATCACACCAGCCTTTCTAACAGAACGGAATCCTGGCTCCTCCTACCACAGAAAGTATAGTCCTTTTCAGGCCTTCCTTCAGTATGGCGTTAGATAAGCAGCCGGAACTTTGGATATGTTGTAATTAGTATCTAGCAATAAAAAAAATCAACTAATTAATGATTAGAATTAAATGATCGTATGTCGGGCAAGTGTGTGTCCCTATAGATTATGTGTTAGTGATAGCTTTGATGTTCATAGCTTTTTTTTAATGGTTGATTATTTCGAAAAAGCAATGCACGTAGAACCTGGAATTTCGCTCAGTTCCTTTTTATTGTAAATAAGTTAATGAACATAATAAGAGATTTATAGAGTTATAAAAATTGAAAAAATCCCCCCCCCTTTTTTTTTCTTCTACAAAGTCGATTTTTATAGAGCATAAATGTTTTAATGCCCCGAATAGTAGCTTGTTTTATTAATGTTTTTGTTTAGCAATGCCTACCGAATTATATCATATAATAGTATCGTTTTTGTTTCAGAACGGGATGGTTACTGACGTAACTAAGACTAAGGTTTCTCTGCAAATAAATAAAATTAAAAGAACAATTATGTGCGCACAGAGATAGGGATTTTCGAATACAAGAACGCTAAATGAATTGTTAATGTAATCCATATAATTTCACACCTTTTTTCAATATTCAATGAGCTGTCGGGCCTACACGAGTTTCAAAAGTATCCAGCGCTTGGAAACAAAATGCTTAACTCCTGTTTGTAGATTCTGCTTATACAGACCAAATAGTTGTACAGACTTTAATTACTGCTGTGAATTCATCTCATTACTTCAACCAGATTCTTGACATAAGAGTTAGACCACCATCGGCTTGGCTTGGTGACACAACAATCAGTGTTTAAGTAACTCTGGATTAGAATTTGATAACGTCATCAAATTCCCCAAACAAAGTCTGTACTCACCAATAAAACTTTGACATTCTAAAACTGAGAAAAATACGCTCTCTTTAAAAGGGGAAATAAATTTAACGATTAATAAACTTTGTAAATAATAATTTTATTTTTCTAAATAGATGTATATATATATATATATATATTTACTTTCTTTTTTCCTTGAAAGTCACTGGCGAAAGAACTGAAAGAAGAACTAGGAGGCTTGTTTGAAGACACCTGTCTAGCTTTGCTTAAGTCACACGCAGAGCATCGAATTGACTGTTTATATAACGCAGTCAAGGTATCTATTTTTTTTTGTCTGTACCGAAAAAACATGTCATGCATTTATAAGTATGTTCATGAAAAACTCTAAACAAATATTTTTAGTAAACTGAATGGCGTTTCAAATAAATCAGCATGATGGAAGAGATAGTAATCATGAACATTTTAACGAAATGGAAAACGTTATAAATAGAGGTTTATAAAATAATTACAAAATGAATTTAATTATTCATATAGCTGTTAAAAATTATCGGCATTAAAAAAAATGTCAAGGAATAATTCGGTCATGCTTAGGTTAACTATACTTTCATAGTGTTATGATTTGGGTTAACTATACTTTTATAGTGTTATGATTTGGGTTAACTATACTTTCATAGTGTTATGAATTGGGTTAACTATACTTTTATAGTGTTATGATTTGGGTTAACTATACTTTTATTGTGTTATGATTTGGGTTAACTATACTTTTATTGTGTTATGATTTGGGTTAACTATACTTTTATTGTGTTATGAGTTGGGTTAACTATACTTTAAAGTGTTATATTTTCAATCAGAACTAGAAAAAGTCTTGCATATAATTCTAAATAATTTAAAGCGGTCGTGATATTGAATGTTTCTCATTTTTCAACGATGTTTAAATATAGAAAACGTATGATTTTTTTTTCTTTTTGAGTGTTTGTGTAATACATGTTTTGTCCTCTTGCAGGACACTGGTGTTGATGAAAAATGTATCGTCGAAACTCTTTGCCTACAAACTGGCACGGTACGTTTCAATTATGCATTCAGAGTCTGAATGAAAGTTATATATATTTTCCAAAATTCTGCTTTCGATTCTGCCCAGCAGTCAGTGCTTGGATTCTTGCAGGTTACCTTTATGACATTTTATGCAGATTACCTTTATGACATTTTAGATTCTACTTTCACAATTTCAACCTCAACGTTACATTAGAAATTAGTATTGTAAGCTAAGACTATATAAAAAGACGAATCTTCATAATTCTAAAAAAACAACTACCTAAAAACCATCATAAGTTACAACATTTTCAAACAAAGTAAGATTGATATCGAGAATTATTTTAATTTTTAAGTTATGCACATTAGGAAATAAAGGAAAGACCACAAATATTATTGACTGTTACAAAATATTATGTTATTCAATTAATTTGTATAAAAAATAACAAGAAGGAATGAATCTTCAATAGTCGCGACACTTGAAATTCTTTTGGGCAGGATAAGAGTAACTTAATCTATGACACCTTTTTTTCCCCCTTTTATTAGCTATATTTTTGTGCGCCAGCAGTACAAAGCATGGGGGCGCACTTATACTCAATTCGATTTTATTACTTATCAGAACCTCACCAGCATACCCGTAAATTGAAATTCTTTGAGGCAGGATTAGAGAAAATTAATCTATGAGACCTTGGACTTGGTCGTATACATCAATCGAAAGGGTTTGACTTCCTGAGTCCAAAACTGTAATTATATCTAAAATCAGTCAAGAGCTGACGGATCTATGAGCTAAACGTTTGTATTTGAAAAAAAGGCAGAGCCATTCAATGAGCTGTTATGCCGCGACTGAAAATCAGGTCTTTAATAAACGACAACATATACGGTAATTTATTAATATTAAAAAATAAACAATATGACTAAAAGCTGTTAAGTACTTTTGCTCTAGAATACTAAGATGATCATCATCATCGCTTCAAGGAGAAGGCCAATGTCATAATTACACACTCGTGCACAAACATTCGAATTCTCGAGGGAATTTATTAGAAAAAAGGAAGATAATGTCACATCACGATTCACCACACAAAATAACTTAATCTTAGAAATAATAGCTGTCAAGTCATTGGGAAAACGAAATGGTAATGTCACATACTGATTGAGGTAAAAGTACATTTTAACATTGTTAATGACAAGTGTTGTGTTTTTCATGCGAGGGTAATATCACAGGGAACATTCAAATACTGTTAAGTATCAATAAGGGTAATATGTGTTGTTAATTAATCGTTCAGAAGTATTTCTATGACGAAGACAATAGTCGTCAGGTTATCACATTGAATGGTAAAGTTATATGCTGGTTGATCGCACATGAAACACTTGATTGTCGGAGATCTTAACCCCTAGGTTATCAAAACAAATGTCAAAGTCATTTATTACCATCATGAAAACAAAACATAATAATAAAAGGGAAAGATTGTAAAAATAAAAGCAGCCTAAGCTGCAACTTATCCAGTTTTGTCCCGAACCTGCAACAGACACTAAGGTGGTGTTGGACATTTTACTTGTAGCGTTTGTTTGGCAAATTTACCGATGCAGGGTTTTTTTGTGCTTGGATCAGCTAGTAACGAAGCCATTGCACCTCTTTCTCCACCTGTAATAATGGATCCCACATTCAGTTGTAGAGGGTCCAGTCTCTAGGTGATTCACTTGTAACATACGTAGATGAATATATTAAATTTCCGGTTCAGTGTAGAATTAGTCTCTTAAGATTAATAGATACATTCTACCATCTTAGGTTGATAGATAATTCGTTGATAATTGAAATTACTAGGCGTTAAAGTTTTCGAACTTTGCTCTTGTATATTTATACACGCATAAATGCATATATAATGTAAAGATTGTTGTCAGTTTTTCTGACAGCAGTCAGTGTTTGGACTTTTGAAGGTTTTCAATGATAATGATGGACACTTCTACCACATTTTACATTGGCATTGGCTTTATAAACTAAGACTTTGTTACAAAATAGGAGTGCTCAAGGCTCCAAAGGAAACATGTTTACAAATCAACATACGTATACCATTTTGTCAAATACTAGGTGATTTTTATTCAGAGTAACTTCCACGTTTGACTAACATATACTTAAAAAATATTACTCACGTGTTGTAAGCAGAAATTTACTAATTTACTAAAATAAAGAAAGCAATATAACTAAAAACAGTTAATTAACTCCGCTTTTAATAATAAGCATTACACGTTGACATGGAGATGTTCATACAGAGCTTCCAGTTCGTCCCAATCGACGTAACATCCTTGCAGAAACCTAAAAACTTTATTGGGATCAAAGCTCTCTCTACCGTGTAGAATCCTACGATTATGGAATATTGCTAGGTCTCCTGGGTTAAGATACAGGGTCCAAGACATCGAAGGGTCTGTAATTTTACTTGAGAATGTCTGGTAGGCCAAATAGAATGGTTTCGTTTCCTCTACAGGTAGTAAAGGCGCTCGAAAAGAAATACTACTGTAATGGATCTCCTGGATTTCTCCTGCTTTGTTAGTTGTGATAATGGGCCACTCAGCTCTATACCATCGATCCCGTTCTGCATCGAAAAGAGAGAAAGGAACAGGCGTGGAACAAAGTATATTAAAGTGATCAGGGTGATTGTCTCTTAACCACTCTGCTATCGCGTAACCATCAATGAATAAAGATTTTCCTCCTGCCTTATCGTGTCCTACAATATTTGGGTCAGCCGAATGCAAACAGTGGAGAAGAAGGGCTCCTGGGGATCGTTCTCTGTAAGTTAGATCTGTATGTGGTGTAAGTTTTCTTCCAGTGGATTCTAGATGAGCATTAGGATCTGGGTTCTGTATTATGTCAGAAGTCACCCCATGCCCTGACTCACGGATGTAGGCAAATCTCTTGCCAACTTCCACCGTTTGACTTACCTTTATAGGCACACCTCTAATCAGTGCTATGCCATAAGTAAGTAGCAGTTCAGTGGTTTGTTTTAGAACTGACTTGCTCTCCATTAAGTCGGAATACTCTACGCTCACTTTTGTTTCTTCTATTGGGTTTTTATTCCACAAAATTCGTTGAGGTCTTTTTCTTGTGTACATATTATTTCTTGGTTGAATCAGCACATGTCCATCACTCGTCGTAACTGGGAGAAATTCACGCAACCAATCAGCAGAGAAGACACTCGTGTGCTTTTTCTCTTTTCCAAAAGATGGCCATTCAATTTCTAATTTATCAGCTCCTTTGATGTAAAACTTCGAAGGTTGGATATTAATGTCCAACGAAGTGACGTCTACGAGTTTTTGACGAGTTTCTGGGTGGACACACTTAGAGCATAAGCAACTATCACGAAGCCAAATATTTGAAAAGTCACAAGAGCTGTTGTCGTTAAAAACCACTCGTAACTGACTGTCATGGATATGCAAAACTTCAGTAATTTTAACTCCAGTTGATTTCGGCCTAACATTTTTATTGGAGACGCCGATACTCAAGATATGTGCTTGGTAAAATGGTAAAGTTGGACTTGTCGTTTTTAGTCGACGAATAATCTGAGACACAAACCGTTGCATGATGAATCTCCGTATTGAAATACAGACATCGGTTGAAGGTACATTAAGTAGTGGCAATCTTTCTGAGAATCTTTGGACTTATGTTACAGATGATGAAAAATACTTATTACGTGTTCACTCTTTTTCTTTCGGTATAATCCAATGTCCATGACCTACAAGAACTGCTGAAGTTAAGTCTCGCGCAACGTGCCTGTACTTTTTCTAATGTAGTTGTAGGATATTTAATTAGATGATTTAAACCTTGACCTTCTACTATATACACGGCTCTAACGCGTTATAAAAGCATTTCAAGATGGCGGGTATACGATGATCCCTGTAATATTCGCAATGTAATGATAATCAACATCTTAATGTGTGAAAAAATGGTAAATATCTCACGTTGAAAAGCAAAAATATTTACATTTTTTGCTACGTTTTTTAATGGTTAAAAATATGAAATAGATTAGTTATATTCAAACAAATATCATGAAATTAATAGCAATGAACTCATAAGGGACGTATTTTTAATATTTCTAAAAGTTTAATTTAATTGAGATTTTTATTTTTTACAGCATTTTTTGTATATGCATAAAAATCTTTTAGTAGAAACACTTTTATAAAATAACCAAGGAAATGTTTTATTATCGGCAAATGATACATTTAACTTGCTTTTTCATTTTATCATTTTTTATTTTATTGCAGAAAACTTCGTTTTTAGCCCATGTATGGAGGAAGGCCAGGCATGGCCAAGTGGTTAGGGAGCTCAACTCGCAATCTGCGGGTCGCGGGTTCGAATTCCCGTCCCACGAAACGTGCTCGCCCTTTCGGCCATGGGGGAGTTATAATGTGACGATCAATCCCACTATTCGTTGGTAAAAGAGTAGCCCAAGTGTTGGCGGTGGGTGGTGAGGACTAGCTGCCTTACCTCTAGTCTTACACTGCTAACTTAGGGACAGCCGTCGTGTAGCTTTGCGCGAAATTCAAATCCAAACAAACCAAACCTTTTGAAGAAAACGTAACTTATGCAATGAAAGCAAAAATTAAGTATATATTTCTAAGATAGATCAAAAGATTTTTTTACTAGTTTGTTTTAAACATTTTACGCAAAGCTACACATATCCATCCTTGATTTTGAACTGATAGAATAGAGAGAAGAAAAATAGTCAACAGCACCCACCGCCATCTTTTGGACTACTCTGATCGTGGGACTTGACCGACACTCTTAGAACACACTTAATGGCCCAAAATACAAAGCGCGATTTTGCAGAAATGAGACGCGAACCAAGGACCCTCGGATCCATATTCCGGTATGTTAACCTCTAGGCCTCACCCGATCTAAAACGAATTGAACCTCATACCTTAGATAAAACTCGATGACGTTATTTGCTTAAAGTTAACAAAAAGTTACAATTGAGGGAAGTTACAAAATACAACTAGGCTAGTAGAGTAAACCAAGACGAAATTCTTAGTTAGGCATTGTTTCTTTTATAATAATATATGATTATATATAATTTAATTTCAGTTTTAATTCTGCTAATTTTTTGATGATTATAGAATGCCTACTTTATAGTGCTGCTTTTAAAACAATACCTTGAAATTAATGTGAAGTAGTAGAAATGAGAGGGGGGAGGCACAACTTGCAACTCAGCTCTACCATCCCTAAACCGCTGTTACTTTCAGTTCTCGCACCTTCGAATTGTAAGGACATGAATCCGAGTATACACAGATCTCATCTCATCTATGCTATTCTCATTAACTGTTAATTCCAGTTGTCACTTCATGGTTTGTAAAGACGTGAATCCAAACTAGGGAGGGAGTACAACTAATGACTCAACTCTATCCCTTTCCAACTGCTTTTACTTTCAGCTTTCATTCTATTGATTTGCAAGGAATTGATTATTTTTATCAATCTCCTGACTTAATATTCTAAGCTTATATACGTGTGTACGTACCTATAGGTGTGTTTCTGATTCAGATTGTTCTTTAACTCTGAGTGTTTCAGGGGTTAAAGTTACAATCGTCTCTTTATTAATTTACGGTTAAAATGACAACTTCGAAACAAAGTTGGCGTTAGTGATGATATTCCTACACAAAAACGTTACATAAAAACGAACAAAATAAACATAATTAACTTACAATATCGATAACTGTAATATTAACGAACTGTGTCAACTTGTATTACTTGTAAATCTAAATAATAAAGTTTTAATAATTTTAATTCCATTATGCAAGATGCACAGGCGGCGAGTGAATCTTTGGTTTTGGTAGGATATTCCTTCATGTGTGTGGAATTACACAGTTGGAAAGAATCATTTCGTGTTCCTTAATGAATAAACTCTCCTCAGCGACTCACGTGCACCCTCTTTCGATCTCTCTGTACAATATTTTTTAGTTGGTGAGAATAAATAATGCTCGGTGATGGGCGGTTTATTTGGAGAGGCTTAACCTTCTCAAGCGTCTTATACGCGCTGCCCCTGGCAAAATGCATTTGTTAAATGTATAACTTTTTATGTAATTATTTTTTCATCATAGCTACGTCATGGTTTGCTTTAAACGTAATGTGTTATTTGGTCTAGCTAAAAAAAAACACTTCCATCTTATTCTCATTAACTATACTAAATTTGGAAGATACTTTAGAAAAAGAAAAATAACAACAGTTATTCAATAAATCTGTGAATAAAAAAAATAGTTGTTTAAAACTGCTATTTAACCATCTGTGGAAACTGCAAAACTTGTAAATATTTATGTAAGAACGTTTGTTGAACTGAAGTAGTTGTGACATAGCACGTACACAACGTACATGCATGACGTGATATCTCTGACTCAGGGCAAAGTTAGTCTCGGTCGTTGCTACATTCTGCAAGTCCTTGATGAATTGGTCACTCATTAAGTAGTGAAACTAATAGATGTGAAGTATTCTGGACCAAAGTGTCATCGTCTCATATGGATTACAAAATTATTGTTATAGTATAAACATTTTTGCATTTGCCTCTCGTAAATCGTGAGGTTTTAGATTATTTCAAATTACTTTTTCATGTTAACTTTCACTGTTTATGTTTTTTGCAGGACCTGAAAGAGCTGCACATGCTGTTCAAAACCAGTAAGTGTATTTTAAATAAACTCGTTTCTTATTTTTCAGTTCCGTATTTATTCATGGCCCTTGTTACGTTACCTTAGATTTACATATACTCAGGAATATAGTAATTTATCTTGTCATTTGACTTGAATAACGATGAAATAAATTTTCTTTCAAACTTGTGTAGCTTTGTGCTTAATTCCAAACAATCTCTCCAATCTTTCAAACTTAAAAGCTCGTGTCATAGTCAGAGGGCACTTAACAACAGAAAATAGTTAACCATCTTAATGTCGAAAATTCGAGATCATATTTCGACCTTCCTATTGATCTTCTTTTGCTTGCTAATTATTTAACGAAGTTACTTCATCAAGAGAGACACCCCATTGAGAAAGGATCAAGTATAGTTCAAAATATCAATTTTCTTAAACATGGTTTTGTCATTAGATGACTTGGCCTTTGACTATTTAGTCGCTAAGCGGTTTATACGTCTTCAAACGTGAAATTCGCGCAAAAGGAAATATTAAGAAAGTTTAAATTATAATATCTCTCAAACCTCCCGAGCTTCAATGCACTTTATTTGATAGTCACGTGATGATTTTATTGGGAACTTAATTATGAATGATAAACGAAAGTAGTGCATGATAGTATTATTAGTTTAGATCGGCATATATTGTCATCATCCACATTTGGTGTGAGCTAAATGTTATTCTACAGAGATAGAGATGATTATTGGTTATTTTTGGATTTGTAAGCATATTGACACTGTTTTAAAGTCTGCATACCCTTAGAAACATAAAATAAACAATGATTAAGACCCACCCTATATGTGGTTTAAATTACTGGTGAAATAAATGCGGAATCGTCATGTTTTACGAACGTAACCGCGCATGTGCAAAACGGTATAGTCTATTCAGCGTTGAAAATAAATGAGAATAGCCTCTGTAACATTATTATGATTGGGCTAGTTTCACCTTAAAAAAGATTCAAACTTTAGTATTTACTGATTTAATTATCTTTTATGTACCTCTTAGGTATTGTACAAGAATACAATTGCAGAGCAGATCTCTTTCTTTCTGACTTTAGTTTTTTTTTAGCCGAATGTAAATTAATTGATTATTTTCTGTCTAACATATGAAGTTATTTTCAGAATATAACAAGGATTTAGATGACTACTTGTTTAGTAAAGTGAATGAAGGAATACGACCTTTAATTAAAGCTTTATTAATCTATGGGAGGGAACCTAACACTGATCCAGATTTAGAGCTGGCAGAAAATGATGCACAAGACTTAGCAAAGGTAAGTCACTAGCTTCTTACCTGTTGTTTATGTCATCAAATGATAAAAAATGATCCTGTAAGAAATGGTAGAAAAAGCTTTATTACTATAATTATATGATTTAAACAAATATTTCAATTTTTCAATATATATATTTTTGGTATCAGAAAGTTATTTTCCTTAAACATTATTTCGAAAGAAAACAATTCATTACATTATTGAAACCGTTTCAAAGTAATATTGGCTCAAGGCATTACATAATTTAGTATAAAGCACCTACTTAATACTAAATATGTATTTCTCGGCTTCTTCAATGAAACACCTTTTTAACCTTGCAATATTTAGTATGCATACTGAATACTGCTGAAGGAATGCATGCTAAGATTAAATAGGTTTTAAAACCTACTTAACCTTATCATTTATTATTCAGCTCCTACAATATAACATTCACTATGAAAACCTACTTAACCTTTACACGTATTCCTCAGCTCCTAAAATGTGCATTCCTTACGTCCTACAATAGTGATGATTAATAATCTTGGCGTGTACTCCTCAACTCTTACTATTTTAATATATAACACCTATTTACTCTTAGCGTATTCTCCAGCTCCTACAATATAATATTTAGTATAAAAACCTATTTAATCTTAGCGTGTATTCCTTACCTCCTACAAGTTAATATTTTATATATTTTCTTGTATGTCGCCGTTTTGTTTCCGATTCATTGGCTAAGCTAAAAATGTATGGACATCAATGAAATGATAAAACTCATTTCTTACATGTGTGTATTTGTCCAAAATGGTTTTCATTATTTAGTTAATGTACAAGATTGTTTTCTGAAGAAGCATAAAATAAGCCAATTTTTATATCATGATTACTTCAAATTGAAAGTATACCTTGAAATGCAGTTAGAACTTTGATACACATTATAGAGTTTGTTTGAGCCTACCACGTGACAGTACCTCTGAGAGAAGTCAAGGTCTTCTTTAATGTCATGCCCTTTGGAAATTGTATTAAGTTGTAGAAAATACCAAATGAAACATTTTATACCAAAAATGATCAAACTGCTCCTCTAGAACAACAGATATAGACATAAGGCACAACTTCCACAAGATTAAAATCCAAACATTTCAAAGGCTGTTACACAAACCTAGGTTTGAGGTGTAAAGATTCTTAAGCCTAAATGGTGTTAAAATTAACGCGACCTACAAGTACTGTGCTGTAGCTACTTCTAAATAATCTAAATAATGACACAAAATTCAGTGTAAGAATATCTTATCGTGTCACCAGAATGTCAATACTGTTGTCAGATTGTATGCTGAACGGTTCTTAGATGGACGCCATCCTTCACGTCAGGTGATAGAAAATGTGTATCTGCGGCTGCGTACTACAGACTCATATACGCAATTCGGAAAGAAAAAGAACAGCAACCAATATTGACAATAAAGAAACCATTAGAGTATTTGTTACAGGTAGGCAGCTACCATTTCGTAATAGTGTGGTGATGTTTACTTCAACTACATTTGATGTAGAGCGAGTTTGGTAATTTTTGGTTTAAAATTGTTCATTAATTATTGCTTATGTCTTCACAACTGACAATTTTGATGTACAATGCATATGAATAAATGTTTCAAAGGAAAGTTAGATTTGAATTACTTCAACGATACTGTCACAGGATAAGCGTACCACTAATAGCCATTTTTACTATACTTCCTGAATTATTTGCTTATTATTTGACATTTGAACCAACCGGTATATATAGCATATGTTGTCCATAATCAAACTGCCTTAATTAATTAAAATACGGTGTGCTTTGTCACTGTTAAACACGACAGTTATTTATTGATCTAAACCTCGGACCAATCTGGTATTTTATAAAGGATTGAATTATTTTTCTTCTTAATTCCTTGTAACACAGACAGAGCCTTCTACATGGGTTGCGCAAAATAGCATCTTCCTGAAGCTCTTGACGTCGAGAAATCCCATTCAACAACAATTGGCTTTTCAAGCTTATAAAAGAAATACCAACTCATCAGTCGCTGATACAATTAATTCCAAATTTAGTGGACCGACGAAAGAAGTCTACGTCACTGTTGGTAAATTGCGTTTCAGTTTCCCTTAGATGTTAATTTATGTTCGGCGTTTAATATATATGTGTTTTGATTATAAAAGCCACATATCACGTTTATGCTTAAAGTAAATAATCAATTTTAATTCTGAAAGATCACGTTTGTTTTGTTTTATGACTTTCATTCAACAATATGAAACTTACAAAAAAATAGATGTTATTTTTATGCTTTATTTCGGTTTACCTTTCTGATAATTTTAATATACATACCGTTACCGGTTATTCAAAAAGAAATAGATGACAGAAACATAGTTAGTTATCCGTAGATATGTAATGAATAGCGTTACAAATCTATACGAAAATTACACGGATATTTTTATGTAGAATCGTATGAACACTTACTTTACATAAACTAAAATGTTAATTTGAGGAGAATTAGGATAAGCAGAGTTATAATATTCATGACTACTTTAGACTATCAATTGAAAAACTTTCTTGAATTTACCGAGGTTGAGTACGTCATATTAAAACGATCTTGGAGGCTCACTACATCATTACAGCCCTTGCCACCACACCTAGTCATGCTCTATCTGACGACCGTGTATCTTGATAATAGCCCTGCAACATAGCTTCCACGTCAAAAGCACACCAAACTTCCCTGTTAGCTTTCCATAATATATCTAGTGTATGAGAATGACAGTTTCCCGGCACCAGTTCATTCACACAGAAATCCTTACTTAACCAGTATGTCTTCATATGCTATGAATACCATACCCGTTTCATTCTCCAGCTTCTTGAGATATGCAACGGTTTAAGGGACGGTATGACTGAAAACTTTATCTAGGTAAATTCATACGCTGTTGGCCTTGTTTCCAGACACAGCTCCTTCTTGATTATGTTGCATACTTTTGCCTGGGACACGTGGATGTTTTTGCCAACGACCTTGAAGTTCATGGATTCTCATTCATTACAAGACGTCACACTTTGCTTACCATTACTGAAATACGACTTGTTGTAGGTCTATTTCTGGGTGGTCGTGAGAAACAAACTTGATCCACATTCTATAGTTTTTTAACACCATTAAGTAAAAAGGAAATATTTCTGTCTTAGAACTTTTAGGTCTTTGATCTTAGCATATCTTTATGATCTTAGTGTATGTGTATTTTGTGTCGGAAATGGCTATTATTTACACTTCTCAAAAACGATCAATTTTCGGTGGCATCCCAATACCTTAAAAACACCAATGTCAAAATATAGTTCAAATAAATGTCGTTCCACCTCAACTTTAAATCAGTCGTTGTTGTCATGTGACTTGCTGATTTTCATATTCAAAATCGTTTTATTTTTACGTGCTCAACTCCTATATAAATTCATCTCCCCTCAGCCCTGCTCACAATATTAAACTTGTCAGCTGCTGCTTCCACACCATATACTGTGAGAATACTACTAACATTTCATATTCTTCATAACATTATTGTTTTGCGTGTTTCTATCCTAATTTATAACCACATATCGGTGTATCCCACAAATTATTTCGCGCAGTGAGACAAATCAAACTTGTAAAGAACAAATTAACAACTACATCTCTGACGCGAAAAAACCCCTTAAGAATAGGTTTCAAACACATCTAAGTTGGATCTCTGAACGTAACTTGTTTAAAAGAACAGTTAACTTTGTAACATCATACGCAGGAGTTCGTCCTGGATATAACAAAATAACGCAAAAAATAGTTTCTTCGGATCGGCGCACTACAACATTTGAGGAGGGCCCGGCATGGCCAGGTGGATAAGGCACTCGACTCACA